GAGAGAGAGAGAGAGAGAGAGAGAGAGAGAGAGAGAGAGAGAGAGAGAGAGAGAGAGAGATGAGCGATACAAGTTTGGCTGTTACGTACTTGTGAAGCTGCTGTGCAGTCCACGAAGAAGAGGAAGGTGGCCATAGCCGCGGAGCTTAACCACGGAGTGACGAAGGAGGGAGAGAGAGTGGACAAAGGGAGAGACTGAGAAGGGAGAGAGAAGCCATAGCCGAGGAGAGGAAGAGAGAGAGACGATCAAACAAAAAAAAAAAAAAAAGGAAGAAGACAGTCAGGGTGAAGAGAGAAGAGGCGAGGTGAAGGGAAGGAAGGTGAAGGGTGGCGACGAAGGTGAAGCCGACCGCCTTAGCCGGGGAGTTGACCGGAGACGTTGACCAGGGTTGACCGGTGTTGACCGGGGGTTGACCGGGGGTTGACCGAGGGTTGACTGGAGCGTTGACCAAGGCGTTGACCAAGATTTTGACCAAGATGGAGCCGGTATAATCTCGCCAAGCCTTCAGCCTATCCCTCGCCATATGGATGAGCACACACCCTGTGGTATTTGCTGAGTCCAGTCTGTTTGTCTCTTCTTTCTGCATCGAGTCTCTTCTATCCAGGTGATAGTACTCTGTGGATGACGAATAGACCTTGTTGACCAAACCCCTGCAGGACCAAGTAAGGCTAAAGACTGTGTCTGACGACTCGATTGTCCCGGAGGCCTAACCCTCCCAAGGACTGGTACAGACCGGCGGGCTGCTCGGTGTGGCACAGTAGGCCCGAAAGGCTGAGTTGTGGGGTGCGCAACAGGCAGTCTAAGTGTTGAGAGACCTGCTGATCGCGTCGTCCTGTTTGCGACGTTAAATAATTCCTGAGGAGTTACGGGGGATCTCCTTAAATGCCTCCTGGTCAGCAACATGTCTAGTAGTGACAGCCATAGTGTAGATCTAGGCTAGAGACCCTAGTTGGCAGGATCCTTGTCTGGATTCTGTGAGTCTTTAGATTGAGTCAGAAGGTTTGTCAGTCAGGGGTTAGAGTCTAAGTGGTGAGGTTTGAAACCGCTAATCCGGTTGTGCATATATTACCATGGTTGACACCCGGAGTGGGAAGAGCACTAGCCCCCATACCCAGGAACAGCAAGAGAAGATGGTCGCCTTAGTGAGAGAGAATAAAGAGAGAAAAGAGCTCCTGAAGCAGGCGAAACTGAAAGCAATCGCAGAGGAGAAGGCGACGAAGATGTCGAAACTAGAAGAAGAAATGGAGGAGAAGAAAAAGGCTACCGAGGAAGAAGCAGCAGCAGAAGCGGAGGAGGAGAGAAAACGCAGGGAAATAAAAGGGGAAAGTAGTGGCACGACAAATGACGATGCAGCAATGGAGAAAAAAATTAGTGAGTGGATTGCTAATTTATCGTTGGGGGAAGATGAGGAGGTAGAGTTTTATGTGCCCCAGGACGAGAGGGATGCGTTAGCCAGTGAGCTTGCAGCAATCGAGGACCCCCTGGAAAGGCAAGAAGTAGAGGAGGAGAAGAAGTTGGAGTGGAAACTGAGGATGAAGAGAGAAAAGAAGAGGAGGAGGGAGAAAGTTAATAGGTTGACCGCAGAGGTGGCAAATGTGAGGGATTGTAGACAGGAAGTGCAGGCAAAGACCGACATGTCTGCCAAAATGGATAAGATGCTGGGATATTTGGAAGTGTTGAGTGCGGCTTGGATGGAGGAGCGCCAAGCCAATTGGGGTCACGATGTGGCCCTGAAGGTCATGCGATCAGGATTTCAGGATTTTCCGCGTGATATGGTCACCCACGTTGGGGGCGAAGTTAGGCGGTTGAGAGACAACGTGGGAAAGTTTTGTGAGGGCGCTATTAAGAGTGGCAAAGCGGTAGCCACTGTTGAGAGCGAGGCCAAACCTCGTAAAGAGCCCGTCAAGCTAGTTCCCAGACGCATACGGCGGGAAAAAGGAAGAGAATTTTGATAACAGGGAAGCGAGCGTTAATAGTGTCATATACATAGAGCACATCTTGACTGAGGAGCAAGTCCCCGTCGCCTTCCTGACCCTCAAGGACAAAGCGGCCAGTTTTGCCAGATCCCTTGGCAGTCGGTTGTGAAAACAACATGGTTGCATATTCTAAAGTCACTCCCCTTCTTCAATTCTTCAAACTCCTAAGGGAAAGATTTGTTGATCCATCGAGAGGCGTTAGAGTCTCTGACAAATTACAGACCATCCACTCGCGACAGTGGAGGAGTGCGAGAGCGCTCAAGGGGGTCATGGACGACTTGGTAGCCGTCCCAGACCATGGGGTCACTGAGACCCAACTGGTCTAATTGTTCTATCGTGCTATGCCCGAACCCCTGCGTAGGCATTTCTTTGACAAATCTCAACAGGCCGACATCACGTATGATGTAATGAGTAGAGAGGTGGTCGTGTTCGAGTCAAATTCCATGCCAGTGTCCACTTTCTGGCATGAGGACTTGGATAAAGGGAAGAAGTGGAAAGGTCGCACCATCTCTGGCCAAGTCAGGGCCAAGGATCACATGATCCTTACTTTAGAAGAGGGTGGTACAGATGAGGTCCCCTACAGTGAGATTGAGTGGGGACTAGAGGAGGAGGACAACAGTGTACGGCAAGGGAGGTCCTATGCAGTTGTCGCGGCTGGAGGGAGGCCGCAAGGTAAAGGAGGAGGCCAGGGCCAAAGGGGCCAGGCCATGGGAGGCCCAGGACCGGACGCACAGGGGGTTGGCGGACAACGGAACCGCCAAATGGGAGGTAGGGGTCAAGGTCCCCCGCCAAATCGCCAGGGTTCTTGTCGGTCCCCACAGCGACGAGGTGGAAGGCCACCTCAAGGAGGATGGCACCCAGGCTTACCACAGGGCAGGCCCTGGGAAGATTTGGGTTTGGACCAGCGTGTATGGCAGGATGCGTGGACTTGGGTCAGTGCGTGTTTTGTGGTGACCCGGCCCATGTAATTAATTTTTTTCCTAAGTATAGACAGGCCCGATAGGCTGCTCAGCAGTCAAAAGGCAGCCGCCAGTAGGGGTCGCAATTGCCCCTACTTCAAGGCCATGTGGGGAAGCAAGAGCGCGCATACAGGAAACTCCCAAACCACATGAGTCTGTGGCAGAGGTTGCAGACCCGTGCCTAGCTAGTTGTCCAGAGACTCCTTGTGTTAGCGTCTCTCTAGGCACGTCCCTCACAGACGTGGGAGAGGAATTGAAGGAGAGGATGCCAGCCTGGGCCAAAATGAAGAAGGAGAGTAAGGGACAACTAATCTTAGTTCATTTAGAAGTATTTAGGAGTAGAGTAGGCTCAGTAGGGGCCCTTATAGATTCAGGGGCTACCCGTAGTTATATTAGCCGCAGAGCACTGAAAAAGTTAAGGCTAGGATTGAAAGTCCAGAAACTGGCAGACCCCATAGTCAGTGTCCTCGTACGGGGTTTTTCTCGTACGGTCGTACGTACGGCCGTACGACCGATCTCGTACGGAGTGACGAACCCCCCCCGAAATAAAACGTAAAAATAAAATAAAAAATATGGGGGTGTAGAGCTTTTTGTGCTCTACACCCCCATATTTGTTTTTCCGATTTTTTTATCTTTTTTATATTAAAAAAAAATAATAATAATAAAAATGAGAAAAAAAAAAAAATAAAGAAATAAAAGTTGATTGATTGATTGATTAATTGATTGATTGATTGATTGATTGGTTGATTATTGATTGGTTGATTGCTTGTTGATTGATTGATTGATTGATTGATTGATTGATTGATTAAAAAAAAAAAAAAAAAAAACCTGGCACATAGGCGCGCAACTCTAACATAGCTGCACGCTCCTTCTCTCTCTCTGTCTGTCTCTCAGCACGCGCGCGCGGGAGAGAGAGAGAGAGAGAGAGAGAGAGAGAGAGAGAGAGAGAGAGAGAGAGAGAGAGAGAGAGAGAGAGAGAG